TTTTTTTTGGAATGACAGAGAAAGAAATGCTTGTGGCTGACGCGGATGTTAATAGATAACGGCGACACTACCGATAACAATTACCGGTTGACTAAGCTGATTTGACTGGAAAGATCATTGTTTTAAAATCTCCGAAACTCCCATTGTTTATTTGATTCATTTGCTTTGCTCATTTTCACTTCAAGAATAAAACTTGCTCTTATTCTGCTCAAAGATAATTCAAATGTTTGAAGGCTGAGCAAGTAACATGAGATCATTTTATACAAAAAATCTTCTAATTGTCTCAAAATGAGCAGATTCATTATGTCTTTAAATTCGCATCTTATTTCACGAAAAGACATTATCATCATGTATGTACAGGAACACGTCTAAATCATATTAAAGAGGACTGGCCGAGGAGCCTGCTGTGGCCGTGGTTGTAGCACGATAAGAGGCCGAACACATTTACAGTCGTGAACAAAAATGTTGCCAAAATCATGACATTGTCCACACCTGAAGAATTGAATAATTGAATAATTTTTTAGACGGAAAAAAACACGCAACTGACCATCCTATAGCAAAGACGTCTTTACAGGTGTTTGTTATCCAATCGAATCCACAACCTAACTGTTCCAGGGAAGAATTGGCTGCTTGAGCGTTGATGACATGAAAAAAAACTTTTAAATTAATTGCGAAACTAAGGATTTTGTTACCTCAACGCGCTCGGGAAACCCTGCGGGAGGTGCCGATTGACTGGCAAGTGTCAGCTGCGCTACCTAAGCATTCATAAAAATCGGCAGAATAGCAAAGTTGTTTGATTTAAAATGTCATAAAACTGCAATTCAAGATTTATGAAAAAAGTCCATCAATGGTAATAGTGAGGTATTCAATTTTATTCCGAAGGCGAAATTTTGCGGTAAAAAAAGATTTTAGATCCGCTATACGCATTGTAACACGAGCGACGCTGCTTTCATTTCCCAATGTAAGAAGGGGATTTCTTGCTCTTGTAGCTGCTGCCCGACTTAGTAGGAGAAGATGATTTTTATTTTTTTGAGCAACACCCTTAGAATGTAATGTGTTGCGCTCCAAGTGGCGTATTCTCAACGAGCCTATGTAGCTAAAAAGGAGAGGATCGGCCACTCTAAGTGGAATGTATAGGGCTGAAGGCAGAAATCCGCAAGACCCCGCCTTCAATATCTGGTCTTTAAAGAACCCATAAATTGTCACGGTCTTGAGTAATGGTTGATCAGATTTGAACGTTGCCGGTGGTCGGGCACTAGCGTGATCTTTGGAGCAGGTGGAAAGGTTCCTATAGCCGCCACTGCCTGCATTGTTGTAAAATTTCTTGCACCAGCAATGGTATACGCTCACGTTACTTTATATGGATGGGTAATTCTCATAAAGCAAAGTGGTCTCACGTCTGAAGAAATTCAGTTTTATTATGATTCAAGTTTCGATTTATGAAGTAACACGTGTGTCTACCATTTGCAAATGGCAGAAAGTTTTGGTTACAAAGCTGCAAAGCGCCACGACGACAAGAGAATTCAAATCTTCCGCCACCTGCTTCGTGGGCTGCAAATAACCTTTAACCAAGCACATCAGGTTCACGAGCAGTCCCTTTACTCAAACCCAAAAAAAGTTCATAATTTTTCCAGAAACCCTCGCAGATGCGGCAGGCGGTTGAGAAGTATTGCCTTAAACCTTCTTCAGCTAGTGCCACCTAGAATGGCTGAGTCAATCAAGTAACTCTCATGAGTACATTCCGAAGAAAACAACCAACTACGGATTCCTGTTCTGTGACTTTGTCTGCTTGCTCCTCAATGAAAATGAGAATTATGCAAAAGGATAATTTTGAGGTTAGCTATCTAATGAGCTGCCGGCAAGTTCGCGCATCTTCCTCAAGTCTATAAAAATCTTGAAAAATTAACAAAAGATATGGTATAGATCCACACATCATCAGATTAAAAGAAACTGCTCTAAATGACGACTTGCGTGATAATTGAAGTCAATATGGTTTTCGTTCAATGAAAAGATTGAATGGAACTTCTGTAGGACAGAAAAAGAGCTGATTGGCTATGTTCACTTTTCCAAATCCCAGATTTTTGAATTTGTAGAAATCGCTTATTGCGGTTATTTGACATGCTGATTACGAATATCATATCCAGTGCGCAAGAAATAAACTTGCAGTAAAGTCGTAGGTCTGTGGTAAAAGAGCAAAGTCCCCACTTTTCTGGAAACTGGTACAGGGGATTATTTCACGTGCTGATCGCGAGAAATGACCACTGAGCAGGCCATGATCCGCTAGAGGAGTTAGATGAGTGGATAAGAACATTGGATATTTGCTGCGAAGTGGATTTGATGTCCACGAATTCCATATCAAATAACGCAACCAGATAAATTTGGAGAGGGAATCCAAAGCCTTGAAGTTTTGGAGCACTAAGGGGGATTAGCGTTAATTTCCCGTAATGATGATGTTCAAACCGCTAACCACCTTTTAACCAAAATTGTGGTCTTTTCTTCTCCATCGCGCGTAGCCCCAAAGTATATTGTGCGAGAAGGATATAGAATTCGTATCCAGTATATGCAAGCACCCGACCAGCAAAGTTTTAGAATTCCAATATTTTAGGTTTTTGAAAAGGGCAGTTCCCAGAGCAGCTGATTTTTACCCTTCGAAACTTCTACTTCATGATTGAATATCAATACTTCCCTCTACAGCAAAAATTCTTTTTAGTAGTATATGTAACTATGCCATCACCCGGACTTTTCAAAATTTTATGAGCTTGAAAAACCGCAAGCTTTATCTGACAACCGCATATGTTAAGTGCCTGGGTTTGACGATAGATATCTATAGCCTGCACTTTTGAGCACCTGACCTCCGGATGTTGTTTTATTCGCAAATTAGTCTTATTGGGAATTCCACATGAAAACCTGACATTTCTTTTCGTTTGTTCTTTTTACTAATAAACACACGAGCAAATAAAAGTGCACAGACAAGATTTAAAAAAATAAAGCTGAAATACAGAGTGGGCTGGCGCTGCCGCATGCGGAGTATTTCATAGATTCAGACTATAACTTCTTCGGAAACGACTTGCTACTCAATGCGGACTGCCACATTTAAGTGGAGCAAGACTGGAAAAAAGGACGTCGATTGTAATATAAACGTTTCACCGAAGCGTGGCTCGTCTTTTGAATCAGATACACTGATTTTTAAACACTTTTTCCTACCAGCTACAGTAAGACATTAATTCCTAGGAAGTAAGTAATTATAACACGCCTGATAACCCACTGAAGATGGGGCTATTTGCCCATGTACGGCTGCAGGATCCAAAGATGGCGTTTGCGTAGGTGACGGTCCCACGCCCAAATGCTGTCCATGCGCCGTAGCAGCTTCTTGAACTTGTGAAAATTGCCGGGTCTGTGCGGGATTGATCTGTGCGACCCCTCCCAAGAGCGGGGTTGGGCTCAGTGCCGTCGGTATTGTTGGTATTCCAAATTGCGGAATACTTGGTGGAATTTGAGGAGGAACATGAGCTGTTATCACACCAGGAGGAACTTGCTGCAAAAACCTACTTTAATTCAGTTAGATTAGGCGTTAAAGGCAATAAAAAACTTGTTAAGATTTACTGGATTTTGCGGTGAATGTAGAGAAAGAGAAATTGGTGGGGTCGCAGACGCTTGACTCGCAGTAGTCTAAAATTTATTGTAATCCGAGATCTGTTTACAGAATGTGGCTGCCTTCAACTATACCTGTGAAGATTCCTGTAGAGGAGATGGCAAATGTAATATAACCTTAGCCGCAGTTGCTGCTATTGTAGTCTAAATGAAAACCGTATAGGACAATTTGCAACTTGCTCTAAAAGCACCTTTAAATTAAGATCAAGGCGCACAACAAGTGAGCACTAAAAAAGAGAGAGATGAGGCAAAAACCGTTAGAGTCAGCCTTTTAAATAGAAACATTGCACAGAAAATAAATATTTTAGTAGAAAATAATAATCAATGAATTTCACATGTCTGAATGTAATTGGTTTCTATAGGACACAAACACTATAGAAATTGATATGCTCTCGAGACTATCTCAGTTGAATCATGCTCATCATGCCTTTTTTGGTGAGCTAATCGATTGCATGATGATAGAAAACCCACCTGCGGGATTGCTGGGGGCGGTTGTATGAATCGCGGCTTCTTCTCTTCTGAGACCAGCACACGAGGCTGAATTTACTTCATCCAAATGCGACATCAAATGTTTAGATTTTGGATGTTGCTTCGTTATTTCTTACCTTGATGATGGCTGGAATATTCTGGGGATTGGCTGAAGGCGGCATCGTAGGATGAACTTCATCTTTATCATCTCGTACCGCTACTGTAGTTCGCTCAAGACCTTTTGCATACTGTAATCCCTTTTAATCCGCGGAAATACTGGCTATATAAACGTCAAACCTCTGCTGCTTCTTCCATAATTGAGTTATCTTCTGTCATTTTATTTGAATGGTGATTTCCTTCATCATAACTAAATGCATTTGTTGAATTCAGAGGTGGAGAATCTGTAATAACATGCAACTTCAAGAAATCACAGATTAGCAGTTACTATTGAAGTACCCTTCGATACGATCACTGCTGCGACATCGTGAATCGGAGCGGCCGCAGCTACTTTTTTCTGGAATCTCCCAGAAGCGCGATACAGGCGAGGCTCATCTGAGAATCGTTTTAATCGATTCTGCTTAAAAAGCCGAGAAAAACTATATGATATACAAGACTAACCATTCACTTGCACATGAACATTTCTGAATACTCGCGATCTACTTCGGAAAGGAGAGATCGGGATCCGCCGGGGAGGATGAGAGGCGCCTTGCGCAAATAAATGTGCCTCTTTGAATTCTCGATATAGCTAAACTTTCTGACTCAAAATAAGCTTCTTCGATTTGGCCACAAACAGCAATTATTTCAATATAACGACCAACAGACCGCAGATTTAAAGAAACCAACTTACCCTCGCTTCAGCACTGCACCCAAAGCTGATTAAAGCTACAAATAGGAGCGCCTCCATGAGACCCTGCTCTCGGAGAATTCGATCAGAAAGGCTGAACAGGAATTTCCCCACTTACAGTCTAAACGCGAATTTTTTGCAAAAATTTTCTGAGTTTATGGAAAAGCTGGAGTTAGCTACTTAAGAAATTGTCGGAGAGGACAATTAGTTAATAAGAGAATTTGCCAAGGAGAAGCCACTAGTCACAAGAAGCATAAGACTCTTTCTTGTGGCCTTCCTTAGCCAAGGAAATTTTACGTAATTCTGTCGCTTTCAGACGAGGAAATGTTCAAAAGAGTTTCGGAGTTAGTTCATACTTTCTGGACGCTAGTCCACAATCGTCGATAATTATGAAAAGGGAATGCATTACGACTGTTGAATATGAAAACATGCTTGTAGATATTCCAGACAGAAGGGGTGAGCTAATATGAGGAAAAAAAACAAAGATGAAAATAAACATAATTTGAACAAGTCGAAAAAAAGCTGGACTTGGTGTTTTTTTT